AGATAACTTAGTTTGTAGACGCCAGGGTACTGTATGTCCGGAATCACATATTTTACAGATGGAACCAGATCACGGATTTTATGTAATGTGTCGAATCGGACCTGGATCTTGTGTTTATATAAGATTTTGGAGATCTTTTTTGTGATCCCCGCAATGTAGGGTAAAGTGATGGTTTTGAAAGGCTCCTCAAGAGGGTCCCCTTCTTCAATGAGCCACTCTGTCTACAGGAAAGCTACCCATACGGATGCTTATCTGAAAACGGATTCCCACCACCATTCATCCCAGAAGAATTCCCTCATAAAGACTCTGCACCATAGAGCCCAATGCATATCCGACCAGGAACACATAGCCAGTGAACTCAAACACGTACACCAAGCTCTTAAGGCTAATGGTTATTCCGACTACACAATCCGCAAAGCTATCACTCCAACCATGAAGAAGGACCCTCTTGAGGAGCCTTTCAAAACCATCACTTTACCCTACATTGCGGGGATCACAAAAAAGATCTCCAAAATCTTGAATAAACACAAGATCCAGGTCCGATTCAACACATTACATAAAATCCGTGATCTGGTTCCATCTGTAAAATATGTGATTCCGGACATACAGTACCCTGCGTCTACAAACTAAGTTATCTCTGTGGTAGTAGTTACATTGGAGAAACCAAACGACATGTCTCGGACCGCATTCGTGAAGACAAAGCAGACCTGCAACAGGGTAGGACCAACACCTCGGCCGTGGCAGATCACTGTTATAATTCAGTAGGTTCACATGACATTGACTTCTCCAAGACAGAGGTTCTTTGCAAGCCATCTGGCTACCATGAGAGATTCGTTCATGAGACTAACCACATATGCAAACACAGAGACAATTTCAACCGAGAAGATGGATTCTGGCTTAGCAATCATTGGAAGGATTTGATAAACCATTTCGGGTCTTAATTGATTGATCACGTTTAAGGTGGCTTTCAGACCGCATCCATTGTTTTTCGTCTCCTCCCTGCTCTTTTCCGAGCATAGATGGACTCGTCCATCTGAACAAACTGTCAAATCGCTATCTGTGGTGCTAACGTTAAAAAAAACGCCACTTTTTTCACATTTTCTTATTGTGGTTTTCACACCTGATGATGATTGCTTGTGTTGCAGTCGAAACGTCGTGAGAATTTTATTGTTTTATATTTTTATTATTTTATTGTTTCCCTTCTACGTGACTTTACCGAAATAACCAAGAATATGTGGAGCTGGTTGAAACTCTGGTGAACTACAGCACAATGGGCTGTAGGATGTCCCTGAAAATCCATATCCTGGATGCTCATCTTGATAAATTCAAGGAGAACATGGGAGCGTACTCGGAGAAGCAAGGCGACCGCTTCCACCAGAATATACTGGACCTTGAACGCTGCTCCCAAGGACAGTATGAGAACATGATGGGAGACTACATTTGGGGGCTGATTCGTGAAATTGATTTACAGTATAATAAATCTCAAAAACTACTCACTTCTAAACCTTTTGTAGTCATTTTTGTATTATGTTCGTATAAATACATGTACATTTTTATTAATATTTTTTCTGACTTTATGTGAACGAAAACGCACAAATTCGCCCGTTTTATCATTGAAAATAGGTAAATTTCAAAATATCACTGTCCTGCTCACAAAAGCATAAGCAATTACGAAATAACACTTACTACCCAGGAACAAAAATGTGCTACATAGTGTAACCATAGCATGAATACCTTTGAAACTGAGAAACAAAGGGAGATGCTAGGGGGGGATAGCACACTCGACTTGCAATGCAGAATTTCGATTTAAAGCTTTCGTGACTGCAATGATTCATCTTCTTTGGTTCTTTCGGTAAAGTCACGTAGAATGAGAATAAAATAATAAATTGATAAAATAAAATAACAATAATATTCTCACGACGTTTCGGCCACAACACAAGCGGCCTTCATCAGGTGAAGGGACGAGACTGTCTGGTAGGACAGCGCTGGAGTGAAAGAGCCACGTTCAGATCACGTTCGTGATCTGATGAAGGCCGCTTGTGTTGTGGCCGAAACGTCGTGAGAATATTATTGTTATTTTATTTTATCAATTTATTATTTTATTCTCATTCTACGTGACTTTACCGAAAGAACCAAAGAAGTTGCAATGTAGAAGTCGCTGGTTCGATTCCATCTGCTTCATGCGGAAGTTGAAACAAAGGAGCAAGTTTCCTGAATCGTGCCTCTATCTACCCAACAGTATACATGAGTGCACCACACTTAGTCGATCAGCAAGGCCCCGTACAGTTCGGTAATGTGTGGGTGTGACTATTTCTTCCAATCTGTCTGGTCAGCGGGAAAGAGTTGACCAAATACCCCCCAGAGTTCTCTCTAGTGGAGGTCCTTCCGCCAGCAGTGGTGCGAGTTTCCCAATTGCAGGGTTGCACCTGTAACATTGAAAGTGAGAAACGAGAGTAGATTTGGCCACCGTGCCTTTCACACGCCCTAAACGACGAATTAATTGCTGGATTATATTGCTGGTTGCTGACTTGTCAGAACTGGTAACCGACTTTCAGAACTGGTAACCCATTTTGAGAATGGTTACTGGTTTACTAGTTATCGTTTAACAGCCCTAACGGGCAGCAGTGAGCCCACAGTTGAAATGAATTCCCTACCTGTGAAAGCGTCTGAATTTCATCTGCAGATGTATCCAAAGTAGACATATTCTTTCTGAGTTGGGTCACCAACACGACAGCTTTCTCCAGTTCCTTCAATGAAACACATCCATTACAAAGTATCGTCACATGAAATGTACAGTACAGGCAACATCGGTCAGTGATAAATTATTTTTCTCGAGTTTAAACAAAAACGAAGTGTGCATAGAAGCGTGGAGTGATGCACGCTTGGAATTGCATTGAGACATAGTACACATGGATTTGTGGACATACGCAGATTAAGATACAATGATCTTCACACAGGAGTGGATAGACTATGATGATAACACAATTAAGAGATGATTGTTTAAAATTAGGATACAAAGAATTCATAATAAGTTCTTATACCACCCAAACTATTAAGTGGGCTTTGGTAGAGGCGGTTTAATTCGATAAAAGCGAACTGAAATAAAAGCGGCGCTTAGCAAATCAAAGAAAGGGGAATGAGGGGGCGTGCCACTTGCACGTGATGTACCCAGCTCGATCCAGGAAAAAATCGTTTGCTTTGATTACATTTTATTGATTGTGCTCCTTTGCTCGCAGAATTTGAAATAAAAGCGACCACTCACACGCAGCTATGATGAAATCGGACACAGTAAAAACTATTTTTAAAGGCATAACACTTTTTTTGACATAGCATCAATATAGTCTCATCTAATGTCATAACAGAATGAGTAAAAATCTAATTAAAACCCCTTTAGCTCCGTTAGCGGAAGGTTTTAAGGGGCCTTCAAATGAGCCACAGTTCAGTTTCTTGAACTGTCAGACAAGTACTACCGGGAGAAGTAGGACTGTGGGAGATGTGTCACTTGTATGCCACCGTACCGCTGACTGCTAGCTATCACTCAGCTCAACAGTGAGTCTGACAGTCTAGCGGCCTGCCCCATGGATTACACATCCTTCAATCTGGCCTCACTGCAGACTGCCACTGGCTCAAGATTTTAGCTGCTGTGTGCTGTTTGTGCTGCTGCTGCCCGAACTTCAATACTAACATTGGTCTGTACATCGGTCTACTGTTATAGCAGATGTTCAGTCGACGCACTTTATATAGAGACTAGTTCACCGAGTTTTCATTGTCTTTTAAGATCATAATAGACGTGTTTTAATAACCAGTCAGGAGAACCAGGTTAAAAACCAGGCGAGTCTACATTAGTGTTTTTTTTCCTTATTTTTCTATCTACGTGACTTTATCGAAAGAGCCAAAGAAAATGTTCCTCACTCTTTTGTTCTTTCGGTAAAGTCACGTAGGTATAAAATAAAATAATTCACGTTTCGGGCGTAACACAAGCGTCCATCATCAGGTGGGAAAGCATGATCTGCTGCTGAGGCAGATTGCCTCAGCAGCAGACCATGCGCAACACTTGTGTTGCGCCCGAAACGTCGTGATTTATTTTATACCTACGTGACTTTACCGAAAGAACCATAGAGTATGGATTCCTGCAGTCACGAAAGCTTCAAATCAATGTTCCTCCTTTATCGTATTACAGCGCGTGGGGGCTAGAAGTGATGGTCAATAATAATAATAATATCGGGGCAGCCAGGGAATTGGCCGTGCCCGTGAAAATATCAATCGACAAGATGGAGCGATGAAATCAGTTCAAGTACGAGCGCTTCGGATGAGAGCCACGTGTGCATGGATTTGACCGGGCAGTGCGAAAGGGTTTGTATTGAAATGCGTTAACGACTGTTATTTTATACAGCACTGACGCCTCTCAATTAGTGATGGGAGTAGAGTAGTGGAAAGAGGGTAGAGAGGACCGAGTGGCGTAAGTTGGGAGGGGAGTGTAGAGATGAGAGCGCAGTGGAAAGTGAGGCGATTTTAGAGAGATGCGAGAGCAGTGGAGAGGGAGGGGAGAGTAGAGGGAGGTGAGAGCAGAAGGGAGAGAGGGGTGGAGCAGCGCACCCGTACGATCTCCGCGCTAAACGCGCCGCGCAGCTCCAGCTCCGTCTCCTCTCCCGAGGTCATCTTTCTTTCCCGCGCGATTTCGTCTCTCGCGACTTCCGGCAACGTCACCGACAACGCGACGCGCTGCCCCGGAAACGTGTCGGGAGAGGGGTCGGAGGTAGCCCCGCCCCTCACTCCCTGGAGAGGGGGGGGGAATCCCGCGACTCGTGCCGGTCAAGGTCCACGTGGGGGGGGGGGGGGTGTCGCGCGCTCCCACCCCATCCTGCCGTCATTAACACGCGCAGCGAGCGACCTCTGCAGAGCGAGACGACGACGAGGAGCAGCAGCAGCAGCAGCAGCGGGAGAAGGTCGCTGTGAGTAAAGGGGGACACGGCGCGGGACCATGGCGGGTGAGGGGGGATTTCTTGCTCTCTCTGCCGGCTAATGCGGTCAAGCCTCTCGTGGCCGGGCGTGGGTTTTATTTTTGCGACTTGTTCAATGAGAGAGCCTTCAACCAGCAGTAGATAGAGCGTGGCTGTTGACGGTGATGACGGGAAAGTTAATCGGCACGGTATCCGAACCCGATCCGGATGACACTTAAAAAAATCGCGCCCTGTATACGCGATAATGAATAACACGTTGCGTACAGTGTACTTATATAAGCCGTAGACGACGTGAGAAGGAAGGCGCGTGGGGGTTTAGCCCCGGCTCGAGAGCCCCTCCAGGCGGTAACGCGTCCCGACGCTTGTCAGAAGACGCGCGCTGCCCCTACTCGCATGGCTGCTGGGGGAACGCGGGCGGGCGGGCGGGCGGACGGGCTGGGTTCGACCAGCACCACCGCCAGTGTTCCACCACAGCCGCGCCGCGATATTTAATCGAACCGGCGACCTCCGGATGGCAAAGGTACCAGCGTGTTGATCGTCGTACACCAAATGTGTCACGGTTTATTGTAGGGCGTTTCATTGACCACTTGGAAGCGTGCGGCGCGTAGGGTATGTACAGTAAAACCCTGGATTGCGAGTAACTTGGTCTGCGAGGTCTTGCAATACGAGTAGTGTACGTATACGCTTTGTCTGCCGAGGGTCACGTAATCACAACTGATTTCGAGTGCTTTGATATGCGATTACTTTGGATTATAAACACGTTTCCGAAACGAATTATGCTCGCAATCCAAGGTTTTACTGTATGTTGAACTTCTTTCGCGCCGTACGTAGCCACACTGCCAATCGGAGGTGCGGGGGAAGGACAACAAACTAAACACAAAAAAGCAGTTCTCAAGAAATTAGTTTTCCGTAGAGATTTAAAAGTACATAGCTGAAGTGGCGTCCTAATATCGGAGGAGCGTTCCAGACTACCACATAAGTCATCTGAAAGCGTCCGATGCAGTGATCGTCATTGTTCGATGGCTTAGCCAGAAGCTGCTGCGAGGATGACCGGAACTCGCGTGATGGTTTATGCTCCTTGACGAGATCAGCAGCGAGGTATTGTGGTTCATATGTGGCATACACTCTGTGCGTAACGAGTGCGACCTTGTGTGAGCATTACTGGGGGGTAAACCCGAGGCTGTACGTGGGGAGAGACCACACCCGAAGCTCCACGCAGATGCTTGCCGTACCTCCACGTTGTCTTGAAATATCCTGACAGCTTCACAGCTCGCAGAACAAAACCTGTCTCCGAAGCGCTGGCTCACAGGCTTGCATAGCTTCCACTGCAGACACCACTGTCGCCACTGCTGCCTATGATGACTTAATGACAGTGTTGCTGCCCATGCTGATTTTGAGAATTCTACTGCTACTTATAATACAGTAATCTACTTAAGTACATTTTATAATTTGTCGAATTTGGACTGTTAACGCCGATGTTTCGAATGATGTCAGGGAATCTATTTTCCGCTGTGCAGCAACCCGTGCCTATATTGTAATCGTTAATACACCCGCAGTAATAACCAGGGCGGCATACCAGATTCGGACTGCAAACCTCTGCAACAATCGTGGAACGCTGTAACGCTTAGCTTGGTCACCACCCATAAATAAACGAAACTATTAAACTTTTTATTCTACCAGACCTTGCCGCATCCTAATTGTGATGATAATTATATATTACGCCCATGATGATTGATAGTGCTTTCAGCTCCTGATGTTACTTGCTGCTTATATTGCTGCTGATGCTGCTGCCATGTATGATGATACCACTGTAATCTTGTCAACTCTGTGGGCAGTGGCTCCATGAGGCAGTGCTCATCTTATATTGACAGCCGAGAGCCAGTTGAGACATTCCACATTCCTATGGCAGAGGCGAGTCTACCCATAGGACAACCACTGTTGACTTCCCCGTGCTCCATCGCTGAGCCACCTCAGACTCGAGAGTTATTTCAGCTGTCAAGGCTCTATTGGGCTAAGCAGTTTTGTTCCAAAGACGACCGCAGCCCAAGAGCATCGACAGTGGCGGCAGTTACAGAAAATTGCAGTTACACAGTTATATAAATGTCCATAGAGTTACACAAAGACTCGTGGACCCCAGCCCAAAACAGTATTCAATGGCAACAGTTACAGGACATTGCAGGGTGCAGGGAACGTGCAAACAAACCGGAGCAAAAACATTATTTACACGAAACCCAATTCAGAAACCCAGTCCAGAACTCGCTTTAGACAGGATAAACGATAAACGGTACCTACACACATCAACAAGTATCAACAAATAATATTACAGACGTGTGTCGACAAGCCGTGTGTACAGCCTCAGCCATAACGGAGCTTGGTTATGGCATTTATAGTAAAAGTGGTAGAGGTGATTCTGCAGCACTAAGTTGAACACGTGCGGCTACAGAAGGTGAATGTGGACACTGTTAATATTGGTGACGAGGCCATTCCAGGATTTGGTGCTGTGCAAGATAAGGTCCTGGAACCTCCTGATCACGTTATTACGCTGTCTGGTGCAGACTGTCATTGGCAAGTACAATAATAATGACAATGTGCACTTCTTAGGCACGTTTCTTAATGTCTTTTAAGGGGCATAAGCTTGAATTAGCTCCTCGATATAAGATGGAGCCAGCCATCATAAGGCCTTAAACAAGAAAAAGATTATCTTATATTTCACTCGTTTAGAGACAGGAAGTCGTCGTATTGGTTAAACAACAGGAGAGATGCATCCTCACATTGGGGTACAAGTGAGTGACCCTGGCTGCCACATTCTGCAACTACAAGGCGTTTGCAATAATTAATCATTTTTTTTTAAATTCATAGACCAGCCTCTGCATTGGCAGTGTGTTTGCTTGTTACCTGACCATCGAGTGTGCTTGGCTGCTGTGTAAAGTCTCTCAGTTACTGCTTCAGCTTTGAAAACTTTACGTGAAAGTCATCCCTTTATTGACACAACTAAGCATTCTGCAACACATTTCTTGAGCTAGGGTTTGCATAGCAGTAATGGATTTCCTTTGTATTCACATGCCACATTGCAAGCGTGTCTGGTGAAGAAACACACCTCTGCCAAAAAGATGTGAAAATTTCAACTCTTGCTTCGAGCTGTGGACCAGGAGATGAGCACTGTCTCAATGCTCATTTGGGTGGAAAGCCACCATTTGATACTTATAAAAGGACAATAATGTCGTCTAGATGACATTATGCATTGTCATTTTTTTAAACTTTCGTTATGTAATGATTCCACTTCACACTATGTGGTTTGTGCTCTGCTTTTTCTGCAGGTGGTGATGGAGGCGTACCAGCAAGCTCCAGATGGAGGCTGGGGCTGGCTCATTGTCCTGGCCGCTTTCGTTCAGGTGTCCCTGGTGTTTGGCGTGGTGCGCTCTGTCGGAGTCTTTTTCATAGAATTCACAGAATACTTTCAAGAATCCTCCACGGCCATCTCATGGATCACATCCATTGCCCTCTGTGTGCATCAGTTCGCAAGTTAGTTCTCTCTTGGCATTTTGATACATATTGCAACTGCATCACACGGATGCCGAGCTGTTGATAAGCAATGCGTGACAGAGCATCGAGGAATTATTAACGTCTTCTGCCGTGAGGTTTAACACACTGGACTTGCAGTCCACAGGTCGCCGGTTTGGTTTCATCTCGGCGTGGCAGTTGAAAACAATGGTGCAGTGTATTAAATTTTCCCTGCCTCTGTCCGCCCAGCAGTATCAATGGGTACGCGACAGTCAATTGGCAGGTCGTATGTTGGGCTAAAGTGTGGGTATACCTACCTCTTCCAATGCGTCTGGTCAGCATGGAACAGAAGACCAAACGCCCTCGAGAGTTCACTCTCGTAGATGCCCTTCCTCCATTAGTGACGTGAGAGAGCAATTGCTTCTTTACCACCTTGACTTCAGCGTAGTGACTGGTCCGTGGCTGAGATTAGATTGAAGCTTTCCTACCAGGGTCATCGCGATATACTGACACTACGATACGCAATCATTGTATCATTCATTTTCCAAAACATTGTCATCTCGTGATTATCTGTTCCTCGTTTTACATTAGAAAATATATTCGTTTCAAACAAAAAAAACTAGCACAATAATTACAAATCTAATAAATACCTATTACCCATTTAAATGATTGTTTTGCTAAATATTTTTGGAGCAATTTGATGGCATTGTAATTATGCAAAGTATTTATTTTAGGAATAATTTTAATTCTATATTTTTCAGTGTACAACTGTCAATATGTGTGTTATAAAAAGCGTTATTTTTTATAAAGTGGCAATGGTTAGAAGACCTATGGCAGGATCATGTTAAGTGAACTAAAGTCGAAGAGCTACCAAGTACATGCTGTTAATATTGTACAGAAAAGTACGAATATAATGCAGAGAAAATCCATGAAAAATGCACAGGAATCCGTCCGTCACGTTCTGTATCTCGCACACGGTTTGTCGTATGAAAAATAACGAAGACAAAAATTATCTGGGTCTTTCGGTAAAGTCACGTAGGTAGAAAAATAATAGATCACGACGTTTTGATCGCAACACAGGCAATCGTCTTCAAGTGAGAGAGAAAGCTACTGAAATAAGGTCTTGTATAGGCCTGAGATTGGAGTCCCCTCAGGGTAAGAGGGCGGGGCTGGAGATGGTCTCCCTGAGGCTGTGGAAGTGGCCATTGTATTGAGAGATTAGCATGTCAATGATGCTTCGGTGGCAGATCGAGTAGGACATCCAGCCTGTCAATACAAAGACATCCAACCTAGTGATGAAACTCTGAGAGTCAGCTAACATCGGCAGGAAGGATGGAAACATCCCAGCACGTCCTTCCAATGATTGCTCAATTTGTACCCATCTTCTCGGTTCAAGTTGTGTCTGTGTTTATATATCTGGATGGCTTCATGGACAAATATTTGATGATAGCCAGTGGGTTTGCATAGTATCTTCGTCTTGGAAAAATCAATTTCATGTGAGCCCACAGCATTAAAACAATGATCAGCCACGGCCGAGGTATTGGTCCTCCCGTGTTTCAGATCTGCTTTGTGTTCACGAACACAGTCCGAGACATGTCGTTTAGCTTCCCCAATGTAACTACTGCCGCAGACATAGCTTAGTTTGTAGATGCCGGGGTATTGCATGTCAGGGATCACATCCTTCACAGATGGGATCAGATCACGAATTTTATGTACTGTGTTTAATCGAACCTGGATCTTGTGTTTGTTCATGATTTTGGAAATATTTTTGGTAACCCCTGCTATGTATGGCAAGGTGATGGTTTTGATTGGGTTCTCAGATGGTTCTCTCCCCAAGGTTGGGGTAACAGCTTTGTGGATTGTGCGGTCCGAATATCCATTCATCTTGAGGGCTCAGTGTACGTGCTCCAGTTCACTGGCTAGGTGGTGGAAGGTACACCGCTCGATCCTATCATCTCCACCGTTTACTCACCCACCTACATAACTAGCCCGATTTCTGTCCGAAACCTTTCTTCCATTCACTGGCAAGACCACCTCAGCTGTACTTAATTCAGCTCACTTGGTTTCTCTAATTAAAGACATTTCACTATCTCCAGATGATTTGCTTGTTCGTTTCGATGTGGTCTCTCTGTTCACTAAAGTTCCTGTTCCTGACACCATTGCAATCATTGAAGATTTGGTCCAACAAGGACTGAATGATGATGTTCCAACCCTGGTGAGACACTGCCTTACCAACACTTACTTCACCTGGAATGGTACATTCTACAAACAAGATGAAGGTACCCCAATGGGTTCTCCCTTATCGCCAGTGGTAGCCAATGTTTTCATGGAAAATTTTGAGACGGATGCCATTCAGGCATCCACCCTACATCCTTGTGGAAAAGATACGTAGATGACACGTTCATCATCTGGCCACATGGCTCGCTAGCACTGAACCAATTTCTCAACCACATCAATTCCATACACCCATCTATCAAATTCACCATGGAAGTGGAAAATGATGGCAAGCTACCATTCCTGGATGTTTTGATTGAGAAGAGACGTGATGGCTCGTTGGGACACTGTCTACAAGAATGCCACCCACACGGATTCCTATCTAAAGCCTGATTCCCACCACCATCCAGCCCAGAAGAATTCCCTCATCAAAACACTACACCATCTCCGACCAGCACCACCTTGCCAGTGAACTGGAGCACGTACACCAAGCCCTCAAGATGAATGGATATTCGGACTGCACAATCCGCAAAGCTGTCACCCCAACCTTGGGGAGAGAACCATCTGAGGACGTGATTAACCAGGTAAAGTCTTAACCTGCTGGGATGTTTCCATCCTTCATGCCGATGTTAGCTGACTCTCTGAGCTGCATCACTAGGTTGGATGTCCTACTCGATCTGCCACCGAAGCATCATTGACATGCTAATATTTCACAATACAATGGCCACTTCCACAGCCTCAGGGAGACAATCTCTAGCCCTGCCCTCTTACCCTGAGGGGACTCCCATCTCAGGCCTATACAAGACCTTGTTTCAGTAGCTTTCTCTAACCTGAAGACGATTGCCTGTGTTGCGATCGAAACGTCGTGATCTATTATTTTTCTATCCACGTGACTTTACCGAAAGACCCAAAGAGTATGAATTCCTGCAATCACGAAAGCTTTAAATGAAGACAAAAATGTCTCTTGGCGAGGACGTTCTCCCAAAATGTTCACCTTTCCAAATTTACATTGACCAAATTACATTCAATACAAAGCAATGGCGGCCAAATCTTCAAGAAGACCGTTCCGCATGACATCGTTTTCTCTTGAAGCCATGCATATGGCTTCATCGGGGTCAAGCCGCCCTGCAGGGCTGAATCACGACGACGTGATTAAAGCAGTGTGTCGCAACGGGTGTGCCGTGGCGGTAAAGTCCCAGCAGGTGTGCCAGGATGTTTTGAATTGATTGAGAGGCACACAGACGATAAAATAATAATAGACACACAGACGACGTAAAACAAAGACACTGCTTGATAAACACAGTAGACAGATCCAGTAATCCCAATAAAACATGAACAGAAGGCCATCCTGACAATTACCAATTAAACTCAGACAAGCGCATCGTCTGATGCACAAAATCACACAACTACCCCCCCCCCCTTTAGGTAATTGGCTGAGTTGGGTGCCCCCCCAGGTGTGTACTTAAATCCGAGCCTCACGCATCTGCCGTCCAATTGAGTCAGGGTGAAGCTTGGCGATCGATGGGGGATTGATACACGAGGTTGTGGAAATTCCGTGTTTCCATCCGTAGCGGTGTATCACTTGAGAAAGCGACACTCACATCACAAATTATCAATCCGCTGCTGGATGAAAGGCCCACAGTGAAGATCGAGCAAGCTCCAATGTTTGCGCCGTGGATTGAAAATTTTTGAGAAGCAGGGGCCAGAGGACATCCCTTTCGCACCCCCAAGGTGAATAGGAAATGGTTCCAACTCCTTGTCATGCAGCTTTGCCTGGGTCTGCCCACCATAATGAAGGTCTTCAATTATTGAAAGCAGAGCATCATGGACCCCCGAAAAATCACGAATAACCCAGAGCCCCAACCTTGACTAGGTCAATAAAGCAGAGATGTTGGTCCTGTTTAAATTCCCTACACCTCTGCTGTAGCACGAAGACAGAGAACATGACGTCCATGCAGGGCTGTCCCAGTCTTAATCCACATTGGTGTTCCACAAGCCTCTCCTCAGTGTGCCTGGGAAGGTGATATGGAATAATACTTGCCAGGACCTTTCCTGGTACACTGAGGAGGAAGATGCCCTGAAAGTTGTCAAATCAGTGCGCGCCACCTTAAATATGGGGGCCACCAAGGTATCCTTCCAATTCTGCGGTACCCATCTTGTGGTCTAGACAATGGTAATTATGTCATATAGGACAGCCTACACACAAATGCCACCTTCCCTCAGCTGTTCGCTTGAAGTCGTCTCTGCCCAGTGCTTTACCTGGTCTCAAGCTCTGGGTCACCTGTTTGTGCTTCCACAACAGATATTATGTGAGCCACCCACTCACAGGGGGTGGCTACTGTCTCAAATATTTGAGGCATCGCAGCCCCAAAAGGGTAAACCCCACCTTGGCCCATGATGTTATCTGACTTGAGGGGTTTTCCATCCCCCAAGACTTCAGAAGTGCGCAGCAAATCTTTTCCTGGAGGTCAGAGATCGGATCAGTGTTCTTTCCTTTCAGGATGGCGATTGTGGCTGTGCAAGTTAGTTTTTTTATGGAGTTATTGACTGATTTGTAATCATGCGCTACTGAGACAGATTCCGAGCGAAGGCTGCGGTAAACGGTAGGAGTGGGCCTGCCACTTTCTTTCAGCTAGCCGGAATACCTTCTCCATTAGCCAGGGTCTTTGGGGTGGCTTGGACTGTGTACCCAATGTAGCTATAGTAGCTGCACGAGTCAGTCCTAAACCTTACCCATTTGTATAGATGTATGTTGAACATCTTTTGCACCGTACTAAGATGTGGGGCCTAATTCAGAAGGCGTGGGGCCTGAAAAGAAAGCTAAAATAAGCAAAAAAAATCACGACTGAAAAAAATGTACAATTAAACATATATGGTAAGACCTCGTTTAGCGCGTGTTCACACAACACATTTTTGCTATAACGTGGTTCTTCCATTGGAAAATGCACTTTTCAGGGATGCATCGACTGCGTCAAATGAAGACTTACTGTACCATATACAGAGGAAGAGTGCATTAACTGTGAACGTCCCCTGTGATTTAATTAAATTAAAGCAGAGTATCAAGTACAGCAGGCAACAAAAAAATGTATGCTGGAAATGCGGCTACAGATGAACTAGTTGTATTGTATCGTGACACACGATCGTGTGGTGACCCTTAATTCTTATAAACATTTATTTTTAACGTGCATCTACAATGTCACGCAGTAGATCACAGCGTTCAGCGTATTTTGTGCACTGAATGTGACTTAAAATGTGTTCAGTCGTGACCGCTGTCGCTGCAGAACTGTGCGTGCTTTCTTTGACTCATGTTAAGGGTGTTCGGGTGCTTTCTCACGATGCTGTTATTGGCATGCTCATTAGTCTATGAGCACAAGCAAACCAAAGACACTGCAGTAACATAGAGCCTGTTCGCAAGAAATCCTCCCCCAAGGGCAGACGCGAACTGGCCAGGTTTCCCAGTGGTTGAGAGAGTGGCTTGTAATATGAAGTTTGAATGTTAAAATCTTGGTTGGGGTTTCACTGAGCCCGTCATCCATCCAGGGTCAATACAATAAGAACCACTTTGTGGATCAGTCAACTGGGTGGAAATTCCACCACTGGCTTAGGGGTGTACAGAGGATGTGAGCACCGTCTCGTCACTTTAACGATAGTTTAGCACATGGAGTTATGAGTTGGCTCATTGCACATAAACCATCTGTAGAATTACTATTATAATAGCCCAGAAATGTGTGTAATGCACGTGACGTCACTCCACATGCCGCACCCCCCCCCCCCCCCCCCGTCATTAATACAATAATCATGAGCGGGTGGATTTTTACACTCACGTGAAAGAAGGTCGAGTGGAAAGATTTTTTTTTGCAGTCGCTTTAACTATGACGTTTCTTTACAGAAAGTGACGGTAAAAAAACACATTCCTGCGGAGGGAGCTGGTAGGAACGTTGGGTTGCTCGGACAATGGCCAGGGTCAACGGCGGCGTGGTGTATTCCGCAAATATGCCCGACTGTGAGGGCGGGCACAAGCCGGCATGATTGGGTTAAATGTTGAGTTTTATAAGGGCACCACGGGGTGACCAGCCCCTCCCCTCCCCACCCAGCCCCACCCCTCCCAGCCCCACCCTCCCCACCCAGCCCCTCCCCACCCTCAACACCCAGCCCCTCAACCACCCAGCCCCTCCCTCCCCTCCACACCCAGCCCCACCCTCCCCACCCTTCCCTCCCCACCCAGCCCCTCCCCACCCTCCCTTCTCCACCCAGCCCCACCCCTCCCCACCCAGCCCCACCCCTCCCAGCCCCACCCTCCCCACCCAGCCCCTCCCCACCCTCAACACCCAGCCCCTCAACCACCCAGCCCCTCCCCACCCAGCCCCTCCCTCCCCTCCCCACCCAGCCCCACCCTCCCCACCCAGCCCCTCCCCACCCTCCCTTCTCCACCCAGCCCCACCCCTCCCATTTTTGGATGCACGACGGACGGACACAATCCCGTGGACTGGTGTAACCAGGAGGTTCCTTCCAGTATAAATATATGCAGCATAGTGCTACATCCGTACGTGACGTCACTGCAAAAGAGCCCCCCCCCTCATTAATAATCATTAGCAGGTGGATTTTTACACTCCCGCAGGTTTAGCGGAAATGATATTTTTTACGCAAATTTGCTTTAATTTGACGTTTCTTTATTGAAAGTTAATCAAATAAATAATTATACGCACACGTTTCTTTACAGAAAGTGACGGTAAACAATAAATATATGCAGCACAGTGCTACATCCGTACGTGATGTTACAAAAGGTAAGTCTAATTTATGCTTCTACATTATGGTAAAATAGACATTTCTCGCTGATTTTCCAGATATTGTATCGATTTTCAATTTATTTCAACCCCAGTGACCGAAAGCAGAAGAGAATAAAGTATCAGAGCAGTGAATTTGAACAAATTGAAGGTCAGTTTATATACAGTGCTACAATGACATTAAGTGAGGCGTTTTATGACAGTTTTGTGCAAGAATCACTGCCATTAATATAGTGCTACAGTGAACTGCAGTTAAGTGTTTGATGACATACTTTCGTGCAAGATTCACTGCCATTACATTTACACAAGATACAATTATACTCTGCTCGATTTTTTTCGTAAATATTACAGCTTCCTTCCTAGGATGGGCAAAGATGCTAGTATAAAAATATGAACTCGCCACATCCATCCGTAATCATGCCTTATCACGGAATATATAGAACAACAATTCGGTCACAGTCTCTTCTGAGTGAAGAGGGGGCAGAAAGATTGAGATGGTTGCAGGTCACACTTGACACTTTACACTGGGGTGCCCAAACAACTCTAGACGGTGACACATGAACAGTTTAGAATTCACTTATGACCACTTTATACATTAACTTTGAACATCAGTCACGTCATCGGTGAAAATGGAAACACAAAATGATGTCAGAATGATAACAAAATAACTGCAGACGATGCACCTCCTTCCCATAACCGTCTCTTCACATAAAATATTAAAGTGTTTTTTTTACTTGTCCCATTGGCCACACAGCTATTGGGGAGTTCATGAATTCAGAAAAGGTGGTTCAATGCAAGCAAACTCGGGACTGCTTTTGACATTACGTGTCTCATCAACAGAGCCAGGCCCGCTTAAACTGATGAGCTGCCTGATGTTTACAAATAGCGACCCTGTCTATTAGACTATTAGATGTGGGTTTTAGTTCGACATGAAGGTAGATAATACACTCCACAAATTACACCAAATTATTGAAGTAAAAATGTGCTATCGAGTTTAGACAGCTGAACTGTTTCATAAACTGGGAAGAGAGGGCTGCTGCTATGATAGCTTTGTTGTCTTCGGTAAGGCAGTGGAGGTGGATCCATACGGGCAGAGACCAGTATTTCTGCTTTTTAATGTAGAGTTAAACCGTGCACTTATATTTAGATGCTGCACATTACTGTACAGTATATTGAAACATGCTGTGCGAAATATATATTTTTTAATCGCTTGACTAATGCAACCCAGAATCCAACAATGAGCTTCACTGAATTAGCAATTTCTAAATACTGCTTTCTATGCATTGCGAGCATTATGTATTGTGTTACAAAACATTCTTGCATTTAAAAAAAATAATCCTGTTCAATACATTTATTGGACACGTCGCCCATCTTGATGCGCAGACTCCAGCAAATTTCCGTTCACTGCAGTTGGCGTCAACGTTGGAAGTGAGCACTGCGACCCTCAAAGAAATGGCGCCCCCCCCCCCCACCGTAATCCGTGGATCAAACAAATCACTCGAGATGCCGGTGTATGGCAGCAAGAAGCAGTTCATGCGAATGCTTTTGCAACGTCACACGTCTGGCGCAATGGGCCTTCGCTGACTGTGCGCGATGAATTCATACATTTTCTAAAGTACGCGGGGCTTGGGCAGGAATGCATCATGGCTAAAAGAGATGAAGGTCAAGTATAATAACGGAGTGGCAGCCAAGGATGGAACTCATCTGAGTGTCAAGTCCACAGAGGTGATGGAGTGATGAAATAAATGTATCTGCAGGTGCCGGATGTAATGTTGCATCACAAGATCGTGAGAAGTGATGACAGCTTTGGGAGAGAGGCCTTCATCCATTGGTGGACTGACCATGACAATACATTTTAACTTATATTCTTGGAATTCAGCGGTAGATGCTGCATTTAGTCAAGATCAAAATACTTTTGATTTAAAGCTTTCGTGACTGCAGGGATTCATATTCTTGGTTCTTTCGGTAAAGTCACGTATAAGGGAAACAATAAAATAATAAAAATATAAAACTTTACCGAAAGAACCAAGAATATCAAAATACTTGTTTAAAATGCCCTGTATCACAGTGATGAAACATTATTTAGTGTAATAGTACACCAATGGTTCTTGGTCCCTTGCAAGCAAAGTGTGTGTATGATGTTTTATGTTGCAGGTCCCATTGCCAGTACGCTCAGCAACCAGTTTGGGTCGAGATCCGTGGTGATCGTGGGCGGCATTTCAGCTTGCATTGGATTTCTTTGCGCTTCCTTCGCACACTGTCTCCTGCACCTGTACCTTTCTCTTGGACTGTTGACAGGTAACATGTTTGAACTTCAGCTTTCACGATGCAACCAACATTTCAGGGCACTGTTCTTTCACAGGTATATAACTGGGCTTGTTTAGGGGTCCTCCAAATGGCGAGATGTTAACTACATCGCCTGGCATGAAGGAGGTTGTGGGTTCAATCCCGACCCTGATGCCTGTATATTTGGAGTTTGCATGTTCTCCCCAAGTTAGCGTCGACATTTCTTTGGGTCCTCCGGTTATTCCCTCCACATTTAGAAACCTGTGCTTAGAGTATATGGCTGTTATAAATTTCCACGTGATAAGTCACTTCATTGAGATATCATTTGTGAAAAAGAGTGAAGAGCTCAGTGGGCTTTACCTGGTAAATAAAATAGTTTAGTTTAAAATAGTATATCCTGGGCCAACGTGGGTTTGCGACAAGACAAAAGTTCCAGGTAATCTCATCACCGAAATTTACCTCTCTTTTATGTTCATGTTTCAGTTTTACAGGAATCTTTACACTGGCTTGAAACATTCAGCATGGCCTGCCTATGGTCCATCCTGGGTTTAACCAGGCTGGATTGTGTGAGAGGCTCACAGATTGTTTAATGATCTGGACAGTCCCTATCATCAGTGAGCTCTACTGATGATGGGGTAACTACTCAACAATTGCCGGTCATGTAGCTCGCATGCCCAGGCCACCACATGCCCAAGCATCTTCTGTCTGACTGAAGAGCTGCTCTCCTGCAACAATGGGAGGCTGTGGAGCAATGCTTGCAACAAGCAAAGTCCTGGCCGGTTAAAACTCAGAAAGTTGTCATAGTGTAGAGTGCAGGTGGTGCATCTAACATTCAGCTCAGTCAACCTGTAACACACGTTTGTGTATATACGATCACTCGTGTGCGCATTCATTTATACTTGCTTGTGCATGTGGGTATGTTCGCTTGTCGTAGCTTGTGTGCATTCACACATATGCATGTGTGCAATAACGTGTAAACGTGTGTATATAAAAATATATATAAGAATAAACCCCATTCTCATTTTTTATACTTTGATACTGGCAAAAAGTCCCATGGATATGTGCGTATTTGGCTACTTATGTCTATCACTGTTTACTTTCAAACTAAATGTGCAGGAGGCTTGAACATGTTCTTTAAATAAGAAGTCCCCAGATCACGTGAAGTCTAAAACGGTCTGGTTCTAGGTGACATTAACTTGTGTCATGGCGATTTGTACATGGAATCAAAGGCTGTTCTTATTTCACATTTAAGACACGAGTGTTGACCAACACTGTGAACCAAATCAACAGTCGTCCTATGGATAAACTGGCCACCACCGTTTGAATGTGGAATGTCTCTCACTGGCTTAGGGCAGTAAACGGGGAATGTGTATGACTTTGTGTATGACGCTGCGTAATTAACAAACGTGGATACAGGAATACATTACCCAGTTGAATATGAGTGTTTCTTATTTCAGGTTTTGGCTGGGCCATGGTCTTCAGTCCATCAATATCAACATTGTCAAAGTATTTTGATAAAAGGAGATCCTTGGCTTTAGGGATTGCATTTTCTGGCGTGGGAATGTCGTCCTTCGCCTTCTCTCCGCTATTTCAAATGCTCGTGGAGACATACACATGGAGGGGAGCGCTGATGATCCTCGCTGGCCTTGAGCTCAATCTGTGTGTCTGTGGTGCTTTGTTGAGACCAATTCGCCTGAGAGAAGATGATCTGTTTCAAACTGAAAACGCAGCAAAACACCGATCCTTGACAACACTGAAGAAGCTGCATGCGTTGCTGGATTTGGATTTGCTCAAACATCGCGGGTTTATGGTGTTCACACTTTCATTCACCTTCATCAACACTGGGTTTTTTATACCCTATGTGCACTTGCTGGCACACCTGCAAATGCTTGGCTTCAGTAGTTTGTCTGGAGCCTTCGTAATATCTGCCGTTGCAGTGGCTGATATAGTCGCTCGATTGTTTTCTGGGTGGCTGGCAGATCTGCGCAGAATTCCTATGGTACATTTGTTTTTTTTTTTGACATTCACGACAGGAATAATAATTGTAATTATCCCTTTTGGACAAACGTACACGGACATGATTGTAATTGGCATCGTGTATGGATTTGCAAGTGGCGCGATGGCACCGATTGGTGTCTCTTTGCTCTCCAAAATTGTTGGGATTGCACGCATTACCAGTGCAATCGGCTTTTTGATGCTGCTGGAAAGCGTTGGCAGCCTGCTGGGCCCTCCAATCTCAGGTGCGTTCTCTCCATCTCCGTCACGGAATCCGGGCCACATGTCACACGCACAACATCTTAAGCAGATCCAGCTCTCGCTGATTCACTCCACTCTCTCACTCTCCCGCGTGTGGTCAGTTACCTTATCACTCTTGCTTACTGTTCATAAAAAAACATTTAACTCATTAATTCCTTCATCCATATTGAGGACTCGGTTTCTACCATAATGGTTGTTTTGTCTCATCCGTACTGTGTTTAGCTACCACACTGTTAAGTCACAACACAAACACAAGACAAAAATCCCCCGTCTAGCCTTAACAGACTTTTGTCAAGTGCTGTTAGCGAGTCGCCCAGCACGGTACACGAGGGGGTACGTGGCCAGCACCACGCCCGGCCACCATTGTCTCCCCAGTGGTAATGTTTACACACTGCACCCGATGCTAATTTGAGTCGACCATGGGAAGGGCCAGGATCAGTTCAAATAATCGTCATTGATGTTGGCCGGGTTTGTCGCGCAGTGCACCCACCCGATCACCACGCGCTCACCCATCCGATCACCACTCGCTCACCCATCATACACAATGCAGGTCGCAACACCTCTCTTCTTCCCTCGCCCTGCTCCACTTTGGAATTCCCTCCCATCGTTTCTTCTCCCGAGCTCTTATTATAACCTTGCTAAATTCAAGAAATGCGTCAAATTTTGGCGATGACGTTGATGGTGCTGTTTGTTGTTGGCCGCTTGACGGATTGGTCTTTTGGCCTTTGCACGGCAGCAAGTGTTAACCTAATCATTACTGTAAAATAATAAATGTGCTGCCAATATGCACTTAAGCGGACGTGTCTACAATAGCCAATGCGTTAACGTGGCAAGAAACATGTTTGTAATATATGAGCAGCATGCCCTTTAAATTTAGCCATCAATTTCAATAGTTTGGATTAGTTTAAGCCGGTTAATAACCCAGGCAAAATTACTCAGCCCTCATGCCCACAGCAGCATTACTGGCCCAACTTTGTAGACCACTGACAGAAAATGGGAAAAAGTCAACAAATCCGCAGTGAAACATTTATACATGCATGGAACGACATCGAGAGACAATGAGAGGGACACGTGGATCACAAAATTTGGAATAAACGTATCAAAGCGCATGTAAGAATGTACGGGTCTCCCTCGCTCTATGCGGTAGTAGATGCTTTTCAAAAAAACGGACGCAGAAAGCGAAACCGAACGAGACAACTGCTTGCTGGGTAGCGCATATAGTACAGTGCACACTGTCCCACGCCTGACTTATGAGCCGCATATGAATTCAAAGCGTGTATAGGGAAATTTGGGTAGAATAAGGTTAGCCGCGAAATCGCACAAACCGAACCTGTTCGAGATGCATACAATAACAACAGCAGACTTATCCCGCAAGAAGTCAGGGAAACCTGCTTTACTTTTGATTAATAGAAATGCGTTCTGTCTTCCGTTTGGGCTAATGAGTTGAGACCAAGACACTGAGGCACAGTAGACTAGACAGAGCTCAGCTCCCGGCTGCTCCCCAGCGCTGCCGAAGTCCACGTCACCGAGGCGTGGTGGGGAACGATGCCGACTCGAAAACTCGGCCCCGAATTCGCTGACCTGGGCGGTGGTGGTGGCTACGCACGGGGCCTCTAACCCAGCAATGTAGGCAGTGAGGATTGGATCACCGCACATATCTTGCCAAACTCTCTTCCTGTGGGTGCTGAGGAGGTGCCATACCTTGATTTGTTAGGCGAAGGCAGTACAGCCAGTGAAATTTAATCGCCATTTGTTTAGATCTGTTTTCTCTGCGTGATCTGGTTTCTTCCGACATGTAAATACTCAAAACATTGGCCGGAAAAAAAATATTTAAATAACCCAACGCAAGACCCTCTTGAAAAAGAGTCCCACAACTAGGTGTTGGCACTCATGCATAAGTACATTTAGAACGGTTGGCTACGAACGGTACGAAAGAAGTTCAAGTTATATTATTATTGTAACCTCGGGCCCGTTGACACCAATGTACAGTGCCCCTCAGTAGGGCCTGTGATCGGCCGTAACATTCGCTCCGCTCATTTAAACTGCAGTGCGATTTGAACGGACGCTTTTTGGCGCAAACCCTTCCCCTTCTGTGTGCAAAGGGTAAGAAATGTAAAAAAATGCATCAATAATTTGAAAGAAAAAACACGGTCGCCATTGATTGTTAATTGTGCGAGCGTACCACTGCCAACACATGACCGAATAATTTGTATCGGAACGTTGTTTTTGGAGTGATCTACGTGGTTTTTGGAGTGACCACCTGAGGCCAGATGGTGGGAGACCGTCAGGGCAGAGTGTGGAGGTTGCCGTGTGTCTCTTGCTCAGCCCCTGTGGGATCGGGTGGAGGGTAGAGAGTGGTGGTCAAGTGTGGTGGTGGTGACATCAAGACGGCATCTTTATCCGAGTTCAAAGTTTTAATCTCTTTGTTTTATTCCACAGGTTTTCTAAAAGACTACACAGGGGATTATACAATGTCATTTATTGCCTCCGGATTGGTTATTATTCTCGGATGTTTGGTTCTCCCGATGCTGGAAATTTTTTTTTCTTGTTCTACGTCCATGGACGTTGCTATGGATAAACAACACCAAGGAACGGAAAATGAAGACGAATCCCCAGTGTCTGGTGAGGTAAAGCAACCTCTCGGGCGGCTCTCGGCCGAGCGATGTGACCAACATGAGGTCACCAACGGTGCAGATCTACCACCCGGGGTGATGTCCTCTCAAGTCATTTGTGAGACTCCATCACCAGCCACACATGTGTGAGGACCACAACAACACGCGGTTGGGGCCATACGTTACAATTGGCGTTGCACATCTACACCGATAGTGTTAACATTTTTCCAGATTTAATTTTTAAATTAAATCGTGCTTTTATTTTTGTATTGTCGGAATTGTATGCATTCTACAGAGATGACAGGGGTGATTCATACTTTGGGGTGGATGGAAGCTAAAATGTTGTGAAGCCAGGTCGCCCTTGTAATAGCGGCGATTACTCGTACACCACTGGGTTTATTGCATCTCCTGGTTAAATAGCGGACTGCAAAACTCACGATAGGGAAGTGTCACGCATCTCAAAATTGTGCTTACCCCCATTATCTTCATAATAACATCACGATGATTGTTAACAATGTAGTCATTGTCACGAAGTCATAATTATCTTGTTCAACAACAACAATGTGGATTAATATAGCATTTTATACTATACTTTTGACACTACACAGGAACTGATTTACATCACCAAATCCAGGAGACATCAATGACCATGGACACTTGCCACGGTGACTGCACACATTAAACAGAATCACGCAATGAAATTGAGTTAAAATTGTATTAAGAGAAGACAACCAAAACCCACTGTCCTATAAGGAGGGACCTATTTACCCCTACAGCCACACACCCATTAGTCATAATTAACTTGATGGTGTTTGTACCATAACAGAGTAGAAACAGCGGAGTATTGTTGAGGTCGACAGCGAGGGCCTCACCGGTTTCTCGAGTGGGGTTGGCTCGATGCTGTCAGTTTAGCGGCAGGAGGGAGCAGGGACTGTGCTCGCATCGGGCAGAGATCATATCAGTCTGTAAATCAGTCTTCCGTGAGAAGAACTCTGAAGCCACTCAGGATTATTGGGGTGATTTGAATCATCTCGGGCTGCAAGTGTGAGTCGACCCGTTGTAATGAGTATATCAGTGCCTATGCACTTGATGTTTTTTTTGCATTTTTACCAGCGTTGGTTAGGCTTAAAAGGATCTCATAAATATAATTTACTCTTTAATTGTAAAGATATCACTGTGAATACATGCTATTCAGTTGTGTGCAGACTATTTTACTGCAGATTTTACTTGTTTAGAAAATAACAGACCATCGCCGATTCTTAGAATTGCCACAATTGTTAACACCTCTGTTAAGGACTCATTCTTATGCAAGAGACGTGTGCCAGATGGGTCAGAAATATGAATTGGATAGTGACATGCATCACATGTGTGTGTGTCACGTATGTGTCAAGTGTGTGACACGTTTCAGTTGTTGCATTTAAGACAATCCTGGTATGGGGGAAGATTTAGCCATATGGGGGATGACGTCTGTGCCTTTGTTGACGGTAAAGTCACGTACCGAAAGAACCAAGAATATGAATCCCTGCAGTCACGAAAGCTTTAAATCGAAATTTAGTATCGTTTATGTAAACTGCGGGAGAAACTGTGTTGAACCGGGGCTACAGTGTCCGCTCCGCTTGTGAATGTAGACGTGGCGTCTGGTGCACGAGGTCCGCGTTTAAGTGACACGGGCGGTGGGTGGCATTGGGTTCAACACGTGTATATGAGGAAACTTATGTTATTTTTTTAAAATTAAAAGTCAAGAGAAAGAAGCAGTTTGTTTTTGGCAGTTGTGGTTTAAAAGGCAGAATGAATGTGATGCGATACTTTTTTAAATAAATCTTTGAAAAAAAATCAACATTACTTCGACGTGTACAAAACCGGCTGAACCGGTCAGGCATGCGTGCGAACTTGCGTGTCAAATACGTACTGTACGTGTGCCAGATTCGTGTATGTCAATCAGGTCTATGTCGGACGCATGTGTCAGATGTGTTGTCAGATACGAGCGTGTCACACAGGCGTGTCGGGCGTGGTGATAAGGCAACACGGGAGGACACGTATGCCTGAGCGGCCAAGGAGAGGGCACATTGCCCATGACAAAGTCTGCTTCAACTGCCAAATCGTCGACTGCAAATGCACACCATTAAATCATTACCATGAACACTGCACACTGCCCCAGACGGACTTGTGGAACTGCGATACTCTTACACTGCGGACACGTCAGCAGTGGTGGAGTCCGTATCCCAGTAGCGGGCAAAGTCTGTCAGTGCAGGTGCTGTTTTGCCGTCGCACAAAGTGCGACATTTTATCGGCACCAGAGGATTATAATGTCGAATGAAACCCCAGCTGGGAGTTCCAAGTGGTAGTAACATTCCAATTGCAAGCCAAAACACTCCAGCCGCTGCACCAACCAGGGTTGAAGATAAGGCAAATAAAGTTACCAGCAGAATACAGATGCATCAATATTCTTTATTTGGAAATTTTCATATTTACATTGCGATGAGTGATGCAGAGTCATTTCCTCCATAAAATATCCACATTTTGAAAACCCTGCCATAACATTTCCCAAAACAAGGTTAAACTTATACTTTGAAAAATGCAATTGAAAAAAATGGGTTTCCTCAGCCATCCAACAATTTACATGCCTAGCAAATAAACGAGTACGTTTGTTGGTCATAACAGGTTATATTTCTGTTATGTGAACAGTTGCCAAAAGGGGAGTTTGTAAACTCTTCCCCCTGATACTGCCTGGAGAACGTTACATCTTCTTAAATGTAAGTTGCAGTCCAGAGCTTTAGGCAGATTGTCCCCGGTCTAAAACACTTCAAAAATCAAAGTATTTCCAGTATGTACTGAGCTAGGCTTGTAATGCTTTACATTTTGACTCGATGGACATTTGCTTTTAATAGAGAAATTTCTCTAATACCAAGTACAGTTAAGTAACAATGTACAAGTGTCGAAAAACGGCAAACTTTTGTTCAGATGTGTTGGGACTGGATATTAAAAATCGTATTAAATTGGAGAACGCCTTTTCCCTGAATCGAACATCTCTCAGGGGGCCTGGAAACAACATTGGCTCACGCGAATGCAACACAACTCGCTCATGAGATATGCCGACCTCTGCAGCTCACACTGTTGCCGGCTGTGGAGGTGATGGGTGGCAGGGCGTTTTGAAGAGAATGAAACAGCAGCGACGCCTTTTGATGCGTTTCCACGTTCACGTGGACGCCCACAGAGATCGCCAGCCTCAGCCTGAAATCTGCGCTCCCATCCACAGCCGCCTTAGTCTTCCAGGGTTTCTATCTCTCCCATGTTGGGACGATCCGATGAAGCATTCACTGAGAATCCTGTAAGAAACAACGAGCGAGGGCATGAAGTGACACTTTCAAAAGCGAGCCTCGTTTGAACTTTGATACAAAAGTTAAACTGTAACCAATGTGCATTTTTCAACCAGTAACGAATGATAGTAGTGAATAAAGGAAATGAGATTAACAGCTCATCGTGGCACCTGCCAATTATTTACATTGGCCTACAGAACCTACACGGTACAAGCCACAAATTAATGAACTGCTGTGTGACCTGTGACGTCGCCGTCTTGTGCTCGACCCCCTTGTGCTCGACCCCCAAGGAATGGGCTGCCCTATGTGCTCATTAACAGCAGTTTTTTTTTCTTCTTAGGTTCTTTCGGTAAAGTCACGTAGAATGAGAATAAAATAAAACAATAAAATTCTCACGTAGACGGTGGGGGTCTAACGTTACCGCCATGTCTCGTGCAACCCCAACTCCCCTGCCTCCTTTCGTCATTTCCACTTCCCCTCTCACCAAACTTGCCAGCCGCCCATGGCAAACGAAGCATTGTACACATGATGGAATGTTATCCGAGTATTGCATAGGACAGTGTTTATCAACCCCAGTCTTCACAACTCCTCACGGTACAGCTTTCCGTGACTGCCAACTATCAGGTGAGTGCAATGTTGTGCAGTGGCTCTACTTGTATATGAATAGATAGGTAATAATGAAAAGGTGGCCGTGGAACGCGACGAGGGCTGGATTTGCTGTCCCTGCATGAAAGTCAACAGCAGTTTACCATACCGATAGTGAAGCAATAAATGCAAAGCATGTTGGGTCAATGTATTATATCTACGTTAAAGTTAATAATGGAAATCGCTCATCCCTCATGCAGTCAAACACCAGAAGACAAGCACATTCACCAATCACCTGACACTACTCTCTTTCTACCACTAACCAGACAATCACACCAAGCAAACACCAGTCACACTAAATACACTCATCCGATACACCACTCACCACTCAGATTCTAGCCCCTCACTCAATCTCATATACATTCACCACTCCCCACTCACCTATTACCATCTGCAGCACGTTTTTGTCCATCAGGTGAAACGCTACTTAACACAAATAGCATTCAGTCGTGGTTTATAAGCAGGTCAAAAGTCATTGGTTATAAAAGGTAATGGTGCGATCGCTCAATGCTGAGAGTCGAGTCTCCATGACAACAAACTCGAAGGCATTTGATCTACTCTTCCACGTTGACCAGACGTGTTGGAACAAATCGGCAGATCCACACTTTACTCCACCTTACACGACCTGTCGATCAACTGGATGTACCCAGATATTCCCGCACCTCCGATGAGCATGGTTGGCTACACATGGGGGACAGGGGAGTAGTGGGGAGATGTAAGATGCTTATAGAATTGTTTCAACTGCCGTGCCGAAATGGAATCGAACAAGCAACTCCTACATTTGAAGTCCAGTGTGCTACCCATTATACCACTGTGGCAGCTCTCCCATATGTTGTACATTGCTTACATTCAGAATGACCTTTCATTGGACCCTGTAGGATGACATCTGCCCATCCTATTATCAGAATCAGATTTATTTATACTGGAGGAATCCGATGAGCTATAAAGCTCTTTTTCACAGATATCCAGTAAGGGGGGGGGGATAAGAACGTTACAACAAACAATACAAAAACACGACTGGGGTGCAATACAAAAACTAAGCCCCTCCCTTTGCTGGCTCCCCACTTTCTCTGGGCCTTCACCGAGTGATGCTGACGACCGAATGACGGGACTAATGTATCGACTATAGAGGACCATGTGTGTAACACATGAAACTCATCTGACCCTCACCAGACCTCGTCAATGGTTAGAGATCGTGTATAGCCGAAAGTCAATGTGTACTTGGTTTCTTACTCAGAAGCAGTCTTCATTGGACCCTACACAATCAAAACTGCTCATGTAATTACTATGTCTGACAGTCCTAAAAATTAAAATGCTTATAAATACAGGGTGAAACGCCTCCTATCTGCAGCAACATGGGAGTCACTATTCACAGATCCTATCATGTGTAAAACACAACGAAGTTTATATGTATCGATAGCCGTGGATAAATGAAACTCGACAAGTGTACACTGGTGCACACGGAGAATAACAGAGAGACTTCCAGTCCACTCGTCTTATCCGTGGAATGGACGCAGGTAACAAGAGTCATAAAGTAATGTCCACGGACCACTTCTGGGTGTCATACAATCATCATTGTCACAGTTTAGTAGCATAATCACCATTATTGTTACTATCATAATCAACATCCATTGTCCAGCCACTGCTGGATGGCCTTGTTGCACCATTGCGATTTCTCATGGTCTTACGATGCCACGATCCACCTCGCTCTTGTACTTGAACTCATTTCATGGCGACATACTAAGTAAATGCTCTGTTGCATTTTTGCAGCAACGGATGTCTGAAAGCTCCGAGCGACGGCTGAAGTAAGCCCCTCCTCATTCTCACGCATAGGATGCTTAAAAATGAGAATGTTGCATTCTCTTGGTAGCTTCAACACTTACTCCTTCAACCAGGTTTCTGGGGAGGTCTGTGAGCCATAACGGTTACATGAGCCACAGTCCTGAACCTCATCCAGGCAATGGTGTCCTAAGTAGATACTCCAACAGTTGGACAATGGTAGGTGTATCTTACAGATGACAAGTTGATGGTAACTGGATAGATTCTACAGTAGATCCTGGTGTCAAGGACATGGACTCATATTTGCTGTTCAATCACTGTAGTCCAGCAGATATTCTTGCTTAGACCTGGCATACACTTAAGTTGTCTTGATGTGTTGGTGATTGGCAGAGCAGATACGGGTCAAGTTGAAGGCTACATCATCACACCGGCTGATTCCGAGAGGCTGGTCCATGCACGTATCCTCTAGCGAATTGATTACTGCAGTGTGTAATGTGTACAAGTGTGTGTATTATGTATGTGTACATGTGTGTAATGTGTACGTGTGTGTAATGTGTACGTGTGCATAAGTGTGTATAGGTCTATGTATAATGTATGTGTATATGAAGTGTGTATATTGTGCGCTGTGTTGGTGTGTACTGTTGAGAAGAATTGAAAGGACTTAGTAAGTGTGTCACTACCCAACCACGCGTCCCTCTCCCCGTGTCTCTCCTTGTGTCTGTGTCTCCGTGTCTCTCCCCGTGTCTTCATGTCTCTCCGTATCTCTCCCGTGTCTCTACTTGTGTCTGTGTCTCCCCGTGTCTCTCTCTCCGTGTCTCTCCCCCCGTGTATCTGTCTCCTAGTGTCTCTCTCCCCTAGTGTCTCTCCCCGTGTCTCTCTCCCCTAGTGTCTCTCCTTGTGTCTGTGTCTCCGTGTCTTCATGTCTCTCCGTATCTCTCCCGTGTCTCTACTTGTGTCTGTGTCTCCCCGTGTCTCTCTCCCCGTGTCTCTCTCCCCGTGTCTCTGTCTCCTAGTGTCTCTCTCCCAGTGTCTCTCTCCCTTAGTGTCTCTCTCCCAGTGTCTCTCTCCCTTAGTGTCTCTCCCCTAGTGTTTCTCCCCTAG